CAAGTTTGAAATTCCACAGTTTTCCAGTGAAGTGTAATTAATGTGGTGCAACTGTCTGGGCCTCAGCTCAGGCTCATGTTCAAAGTCTCCCATTCTGTGATTTATCACATATTTTCACCTAAATATGATCAGAATAACTTTAGTAAAAACCCTGTTTACAGTGTCCTGAGCTGTTAAGGAGTTAAATGTTAATGTGGAAGAAGCTAAAAGTAAAGTGCCGGTAATGTTCAAAGGGGGAATATATTTATATTGGAAACATATATCAAGCTAAAGACAAGTAAAACTAATAAATTGAGTAAAGTGTGTTCCGAGAAGCAAAGCTAGATTAGTAATATGTTAAACAAACACAACCCAAAATAGTCACAATTACTGTAAGGCTGAACTGTATGTTAGCTCAGGACTGCTAACAGCTAATCGTATCAGGTTTGCTGGCAAAAAGCTACAAAAGAAAAAAAAGGGCAGCGTAATGTGAAGTAAAACATAAACAAATATAAAGAAATGATTTGCATGGAATGAATTAATATCACCACAGTGTTCTGCAACTATAATGTAGCTACAGCTCTTAGTGACAAATGTGTTATTATAGTTAGCTCAAAATTTAAACCCTTTTACAACAAATGACTAATATGTTGGGTTATTAAAATAAGTCTTGGGGGGAAAAATGGCCAAAGTTAGTCAAGTTACAGGTTAATGCCAGTCTAGAAATTGTTGTAAAAATCTCCCTAAGATTATCTGAATGCTGCTGAAAATATGAATATATTAAAAGGTCTTTTTAGGTCTTTTTCCAGAGCCTCATTTTGAAGCACTACTCTTGACAGCTACATCCATTTATGATCTACATTCTTTGGTTTTTTATCTGTTTTATGAACAGCCATAAAGTTCAGATCATTCCAGCTCTGAAGCCACAGAGCTCCATCAGTGTTTCTGCTCCACCAAGTTGTTTTGCAAGATGAGTGTTTTTTGGTGAAAAAATATTTCAAACCAATTGAGTAAATTACAACGTCATATCATCGACGTACAGTATGCCTGCTTTTCTATACCTCACTACGGTAACCTTTACCACCAGATGAGAGTTGTTTGGATACACACAGTGTGTGAGTGAGCGTAAGGCTCCAAGAGGCAGAGAAGGAACTTTGTTTTGGGTTTTTTTTGTGGCTGCTTTTCCCTGAAATCCTGACTACAGGATGAGCTTGGTGGCTCATCAAGTAGTGCAGGAAATTTAAGGAGGATTTAATGTTACTGTAACTGAGTGTCTGTCTGCCAGCACAGAACCTGAGGTGAACATCAACCTGGATCATTTAAAGATAGGAAGGTTGTGATTTATAGTACAGATAACTTAATTGTCCAATATATATACTGACAGAGAGTTGAAACAGCTACTGCCTGCTATATATATTTGCTCATATCACTTTTTATATCTAATACTACAGCCTTAAAATATATGCATAATATGAGTCAGACGTCACACTCTATGGGGAAATGTCCAGTACTGCTGCCACCTCATCAGTTCATTACATACAGTAAGTTGCACTGAGCTGACAGAACTAATCTAATCGACGGACATATACATTCTAGTTAACGTTTATATGACGCATGATGCAGCAGATACATCGCTGATGTCCAACCAGATCCATAAACTATTCTTCAATTTTTTGAAAATTTGACAGTAAGGGGTCAATCCAGAAGATCTGGAGGGAATTACAGCCAAGGTAAGCATTCAAACCTGCAACTAGGCAAGGCTAGCCTAATAATGCAAAGCTTCATACGTCCATGCATTTATATTAAATATAAAATGTAAATGAGGGATTGTCTACAGAACTGATTGGATAAATAATAGCCGATAGACAGAAATAATAAAAATTTGAAGAAATAAAAATAAAATATATATTTAATTACCAATCCTCTGCAATACCTCTATTGACCCCTAGAAGTCACAGCCCCCTCGTTGAAACCTTTGCTGTAGAAAAACCACAGAGTGTGAGCTGCAGAGGCTCCAGTCTGTCTCCGTCTTTTTATAAACACGATAATAACTGGAGATGTGATGAGATCTAAAATGAACGTTTAAGCCTTATTCTCCATTTCTGTCCAAAAACAGTGATGACTCATATGATTGGTACCTCTCACCTCATACCTCCGCCCCAAACTATGAATTTTAATCCAAAACATCCCTGTTTCCCTGTCCTAGCTGATACAGAAGGATCTACCAGAACAGCTTTGACCTGATTGGTCAACAGCATCAGCTCCATGCTGGTCTGCATTTAACTTTGCGTGTGTTTGTAATGTGTGTAACATTCTTTGCCTGCGTGATTCCACAGGAGAAGAAGGGCCCTGTCTGTACTGGTGCCAGCTGAGGTCAGGCCCGGACACTGTGGGGTGGACCCTTCTCCTCCCACCACGGTGGGCTGGGAGGCAGGGGGAGGCCTGCAGCACTTCTGGGAAACAGTCTGGGCCTAATTGGTGCCTGACTTTGCCTCACATGTCTCCACTTACTGCAGGAGACGGAGGATTCCACGCCCGACCTCTGACAGGAGCGACCGCTGTTGCAGGCGCAAGGCCTTTCCTCTAGCTCAGCACTAGCAACACCGCAGACATCATTGGCATAACCGCAGATGTGACATGACAGAATGACAGAGCACTCTCCCAAAAACGATTAGTGAAAGGAATATCTTTTAGCATGAAAATAAAAACAAATGAGGAAATGCCAAATTCCAGAAATTCCTAGAAATTTCTTATAGCTGATATTAGCTTAAAGTTGTCCAAATGTTGTCCAAAAATTATTGAACTGAATCCAGAGGTTTAGTAAAAGTAACTGATAGTCTTGAAGATACTTCAGCTTTAAGTAATTCACAATAACTATTATAATTATTAAAGTTCAGCCTAAAATCACGAGTTTTGGCAAGTCAACTAGAAGCTAAATTTAGAATTAAAATAAATTATGAACGTAGCAAATAGCAACAAGTCTGGTAAAAGTGAAATAAAACATGGTCAAAACAGTGAAGTCCAGCTAAAGATGCTGATAACTTAGAATTAGCGCAAACATAGCAAAATTCAGGTTTTCGCAAACTTTGGACAAAAGCCCAATGTTAGGAAAGAAAAAGCTGAAAATCTGCAAAAAACTAGCAACCTTGCTGAAAGGTCACCAAAAAAGAGAAGTAACAGAATGTTTTAGGCATTACCCAGAAACAGAAGTGTTCAATGGAAATGATTCAAAGTTAACACAGATGTGACAAAAGTCCAAGCTAAAACTGAGGTAAAAGTCCAGAATAGATCTTCTGGATATTTTAAAGTTCAGGAAGTTTTGCTGTTTAGCATCAGTGCCCGGTTTAGGAAGAACACCTGACCTGAGGGGGTTTGTTAGAGGACATTGTGTTCAGAGTGTAGTGTTGATTTGTACAGTACACTGTGTATGGTTGTTTTCAGCCTCCTCCTATTGTTCTCTCCTCACTCCCTCAGTGGCTGTGCATCAGCACTGATGAAAACTTCCTCCTTACTGTACTCTGCTCTGTGGATCCTGTTACCTTCTCTGACACACATTCACTTCAGGCCTTACCTCAGCCCCGAAAGAATGTTCAGGTCCACACTGTCTAATCCAGACTGAAACACCAGACAGATGCTGAAAAAGCGACACAAACAAACATTTGGTCCTTTTCTTATTCCTCTAACTCCCACAGACTATAGGTTTGGCATACCTTTAAATAAACCTAAACTGTGGCTCGCAGGTAACAGTTAACTTAGTAGGCAGCTCAACTTGTATTTATTAGTGTAAAGTTACAAATTGTTATATAATTTCTAAGAAAGTCTAAGGAGGTCCAAAATGATAAAAGTAGGAAACAAACTTATTTTAGTTTCTTTGACTCTTGAGTTTGACAAACAGTAAAAAGATGCTAAAAATGCAGATAAAACAGGTATCTACTTGGTAAACATTGCTGAAAGGTAGCAAAAAAGACAGAAATTTGTGAGCTTTTCTCATTCTGACAGTTTTAAAGGGTTGTTGAATGTTATTGCAGTAGGAATCTGCTTCTAAATATAAATGTTGCTGTTGTTGCTGTTGTTATTAACAATGTGTTGTTTCTCTCTATTGTTTCATTCATCCACAACATCATAAATGTGTGTTGGCCAACTCTTTTTTTTTTGTTATCTCACTTTCAGAGTGACAAACACCTCCTCGTCTTTACATGATCTGACCACACTGACGCAGTGCTTTTTTACTGCACGACCCCTTCCATTCAGAAAAAGTCATTTCTATTGATCGCTGTTCCAGGCATCATTTCATATGATAGCCTACATATTCACTGGTAAATATCGACCTCCGCCTAATGCCTCAACATCTGCGCCATAAATAGTCCAATGGCAAGAAATAAAAAGTTATGAAGCAGTAAATAAAGGCCGGGTTCAATGAGGATCACAGGAGAGAAATTTTTACAGTGTACATATGTGCTAACAATGCTACACACCGTGGCAGCCGTGTGAGTGCTCCGACCAACGAGGCCAATAAATGAATTTAAAAACCACAATGGAAGAATGTTCAGTTCTTTTACCTATGGGCCCTTGGTGAATGAAGCGTCTGGAACCAAACATATTTCATTCAACTTCAAAGTTTAACTGCAGTACCACTTTTTATACTGCATACAGGGCATACACAATCAAATTACTGCTCCGTCTCAACAGTGTGGAAAGACAAGTTTAATAAAATAAAGAAGGATGGAGAAAGACTGATGAAGATAGTAAAAGTAAAAGTTAGGCTAGATTTAGCAGTTAACTCGTGATCACAATCCAAACCTATTTTTTACCCACATCGTTTTTTATTCATGCGTCAATACTAAACCTGGATTAAAGGTAGTTTTTTTTTTAAGTCTCGAAATGTAATTGTTTTATTTTTCAACTTGACATAGGAATAAAAGCAGTTATAGTAGCTCCGTCCAGCGGCTTTTCTTACACTCGCTTGACCCATACTGCCCTCTGCAGGCAAAAACGCGATATGTTTTTTGTAAAAGACTCGGTCAGTGTTTGTGACAAATCTTTATTTGAGCTGGATTAAATGGCGACGTTAGAAACCTCATCAAAACATCACTCATCTGAATAACAAACAAACAATAAATGGCACAACTAAAAATAGGACAAAAGAACATCTATACAATGAAATATTTACAACCTCTGATAAATAAAACAATACTGTCTACATTTTTTTTTTTTGGCTTGTTTAGCTTTTTTTTCTCTCTCTCCATTTTCTTCTAGAACAAGCTTTTCTGGAGGGGATGGGATGAAACCTGGAAGGACAAAAGGCAGAGAGGATGAGAGTAACAAGTATAAACGACAAGGAGTCACAACTGCAAACACGACTTTGACCCCAGCTTGAAGCTCAAAAGTGAGCATCACTGCACATTTCCTAACTGCTGCTACCTGAGACACAGAGTGACCGTGAAGGTCCAGGCTAAGCTTTGTTTGGCTATATAGCTTTAGCAACTATATAGCGTTTGTAATGTCGGATATGTACACAAACAGTATGGTACCGTTTAATGTATTTTACACAGATCCTGCCATTCAAATATTTCTGAAAATAGTAGTCTCCTCCAGGAAGCTGACATATTTTCAACTCACGTCCAGAAACAGAAAATATCTAAAACTGCAGAATACCCTTAAAAGTAACCCCTGAAAATCGCAGTGTTTGGTAGCATGAAAATTAGAAATATGCCCAACTTCTCTGCGTAGTTTCTTACTGTTGCAAAGTTATGGCATATTTACATTCATAAACCTGTCCTAGTAATAAAACGTGGCAGAAATTCAACTTAAAAGACCTGAGAGGAAGCAAGAGCAATGTTGTTAGCATCGTTAGGATGGCGGGGCCTCAACAAAGATTGTTGTTTTAACAAGTTACTAACACGTCGACAACTTGCATGTTCTAGTACGCCGCTGAAACGATGCTAATTTGCAATGCATTAGCGCCCCTGGTGGCTAGAACCTCTACAAAAAGTAAAACAACAAGAGCTTCCTGAATACAGCTACTACGTTCAGAAATTCAGTTCCTTTAACACGTTTGTTTGTACAAAGGTACTGTGACAATGCAATAAAACATTAACAATGTTTCATTACATCACCATACTTTCGTCTTTACCTTTCGTCAGTTTTGGGAATGAGAGTAAAAGATAAATGTTAGTCGCTAACCAGCAGCGTTTCTCATCATGTGACATGTCCACAGCTCCAGGCACTGTGTAGCCATGAAGTTAACTAAATAACACATTAAATGCTGTTTTAAATGAAAGGGGCAAAAAATGAAGACAAAGATGTGCTTTGAACAAACAAATTAAGACTTCAAACACAAGCTGTCCTCCTGATCAACACACAATCCCCAGGGATGTGATCCCAGACCTTCAGGAAATGAGGAGCGAGAGTCAGCTCGAGGGGTGAGACTGTGTCTTTTAAAACAGACAAGGTTTCCTTCCCTCACGTGACTGACATGATCCAGACATGGAAAGACTCATGGTAACAATCTCCTGAGAGGCAACTTAATGACGACTTTATATTTTCTGTTTTATTTCTCTCTCTATAAAACCACTAACAGTTAGCAAATAATCTCCCCCATTTTATGCCACCTGAAGTTTCTGCTATTTTACAAAAAGTAAAAAAAAAAAGAAGAAAAAAATAGAGAGAAATGAAAAGTAAAAGCTGTAAAAATAGACACATGCTACCCAAAGGTATTAAAGTATGTCAGAGAAGGTCTTGGCCTTTCTTCCATAAAGTGAGGGATATTTTGGTTCACGTTTCCACACTGCATCAGACCTGCTGAGTTTAAACCACCAGTGCTACAGAGGCAGACGAGATGAGTGTCTGTGTACATTATTATACAGCGGAGAAGCTTGATTTCGCTGCAGCAAGTTTCATTTCAGGCATCCTAGACAGAGAGCAGACACACACGAAGCTGGGAGACAGACAGCGGGAAAGACATTCAGACAGGAGGTTAGAGGAGGCTTTGGCCTAGAAACCCCAGCATGCTTCCTGTTTTCTGGCCAAAAGAGTATCAAAGCCACAGGGAGTTGTGTGTCCAAGAGAAAGTCCCTGTTATTGGTCTGAAGCAGGTCTGAACTGAGGCCTCTGCACCGGCCATGACAGGGACAAAACACCCCACCCTGGACTCCCCCCCAGCTCCATGTTAAGTGCAACATCAGGAGTGTGGCTCCTAGTGTCTCTTCATGGACGAGACCTTCTTCTTCCTGGCTGCCAGCATCTCGTAAAAGGGGTCTCTGCTGATGGCAGCTCTGTGGGGCACAGACAGAGGGGAAACAAATGGTGTTTTTTTATTATTATTATTATTTTATAATCAAACAAAAGAACATTTTAAATAACAGTAAAATAGTAAAGCTGTTAGCTAAATGATAGTAAAAATAAGCAAAAAGAGAGCTGGTTGGTTTAACAACCCAAACAATGATAATAATTGAGCACAACGAAGCAAAAAAGTCAAATCAGCTGAAAATGTAATACTGTAGATAGCCAGATGGATAAAAGTTGGTCCAAAAATGCTTATGCTTAAGCTGGGTAAAAGCTTAGCTAAAACTCAGGCTAAATTAGCGAAAAGGGTTTGGAGGTGCACAGTCAGAAACACAGTTCCAGAGTGAAAATGAACAAACATATGAGTAGGAACATGAAACACACTTGATGCTGTTCATCCACTCCTCTTTCTCCTCCGCAGTTGGGGCAGAAATACGGTAGAAGGTGTGGTTTCCCTCCACCACCCGTCCATCTGCCTCCGTCTTACAGGCTTTTATCACTTGGTCCTTGTTGTCAGGGATGAAAAGCTCGAAGCAGTTCTGCACAGGACAGAAGGTCAGAAATGATGGCGAGGCAAAATGTCTTAAAACACATGTTTTAACCATAATGATATACAATTAGGCCCTGCAGGGGAGCGGGGGCTGGCTGATGGATTTCCAAATGTCAGAGCAGGGACATGTAGAAACCACAGGTGTAAAAGAGACAGAATGTTGAAAAAAGAACAGAAAGAACAAAACATGGGGAGACACTTTTGAGGACAAAGGTGGGTCACACAGAGAAGTGCATTACAAATTCAGAATGCTCTTTTGAACACAACAGTCACTTCACGTGTTCAGCCCTATTTAATTTGAACAATGCTTTATGCAGGAGAGAAAGGATCGTATCCACATTGCAACATTGGAGGAGCAACAAAAGCCCAAACGACACAATGAAACGTTGACAGAGAATATGAAGCCGTAGAGGAAATCCAACAATTCTAAATGTTCTCATTGACATGGCACAGACATCAGTGATTCCTAACATATTAACTCTAAATAATATCCGTCATGGTTCACAGCAACATCTTTAATAAAGAGAGCAACTCAAATTTAGTAACTTGGTGTAATAACGCGCTACACCGGCAGAGGGAGCTGTACTTACTGGCTTCTTATCCTCCACCTCTTTGATGCTGAGGTTCTCCAGTGGAATGATTCCTCTGGGCTCTTTGTCCTGCACAAACATAATAAAACAAAAAAAGAAGTGTGTGACTCTGAACCAGCAGCAGAACAGGGAGCAGTTTTTTTTTTAACGGATTTGAGTTTTACTCACGGTCGTGTACTCAAAGTAGTACAGACAGTTGTCAGTGAGAATGAACCACCTCCTCTTCCAGGTCTTGACTCGTCCCCCTGCGATGCAAAAAAAACAAAAACAACAAAAAACAAGAATGAGAGACACTCAGAGAAAGAGATGAGAGAAATAAAGAGGAGAGACGAGCAGCAGACAGGCAGACAAATGTATGGGCAGACAGACAGATGATGGCTCCTTTACCCACAACACCGTGGTATCACCCAAACATGCACCACCACCTCAAATAAACAGTTTTATCCTCTGGGTGTTTTTTTTTCTCCCTCATCTTCACTCTGTTATTGCTTAGAAACAGCCAGTAAAGTCCAGTAAAGGCATGAAACAAGTAAATCTTTCTAATTCAGTGAACTATCAGGTAAAGTATGCTGTGAGCTAAAATGTAGAAAACACTTCAGACATTTACGACAAGGGAGCGGGTGGTGACTGAGGATTAAGTTTTACACCTCTTTCACGCCCCGGCGGGGGCTCTCTCCTTAAATCTGGGTTCGCTGATCTGTGTCTGACCTCTGACCCTTTGTCACTTCCTGCGAGGGGAAACCTGATCACAGGAGCAGATGGCAGCCTCACAGTGGGAGGATGGGATGCCGACAAAGTGAAGGGACAGGAGGCAGAGTGCCTGCAGCTACGCTCAGCTTCTCTGCAGGTATCTCAGACTTAAATTTCCTGCCCGCATTTTGTTAAGTTACGTCTTTGTTCGTCCAGGGATGAGTCTCCGTGAGTGGACTTCTAATCTAGTTCTAATCGTGTCTGAGACCTCAGCATTGAGGAGACAGGACGGTCCCACCACCACTGTTAGTGAAAATCCCTTATCCAGCAACCAATGATACTTTAAGGATGTTTAGACAGCAAAACCAAAAATATTAGCCCTCAATAAATGTAATGTTACTTTTCTTACGGTTGTGGTTTTTAACACAGCATTTCCCAACAAACCAGACTTATTATGTTACTCTACACTGCAGTAAATTACAAAAGTGTTAAAAAATTATAAAAAATACTATGTTGAAACCTGAACTAACTAACAAACCTAAACTGGTCAATGTTCCTCTCATTATGACAAGTTTCCCAGTTCCATCCCTCTCTACCGTCTTCTGCTCCCACCTCCATAATTCACTACAGTCACATGTTCTTTGGGTTACATGCCTCATACCTCACTCTCCAGTGCTGCCATGTCTTGACAGTTATTCTGGAGTCTTCAGACAAAACCCTCATCAGTTTTGTTAGTAAAGTTCATGTAAAGTTTATTTTAAGTCTTCTCTCTTCTTTTCTCTGCCTGTTTGGTTCCAGAGAACAACACTTTTGACTCCAGCGTTTTACTTCTTGGAAAGAGTTTTGAAACTTTTTTTTATTCTTCTTCACTGGGAGCATTAATAATTCATTTTTCTCTTCAAATAAATTATTTTGTTTTTTTCCAGGATGTTCCCACAGGGGACAGTTCAACCCCCCGAACCAGGCTTTTATGTGGGGAGAATATCTGAGGTTTGAGCTTTAATTTAAGGGTTATGCTCATTTGTTTTTATCTGTGATTTAATATAAAATATTATAAATATGTTTTTTTATTTAAACCATGAAAGGTTTCTACCTTGAGATATACTGTGTTAAAAATCCAGTGCTCTGCATCAGAGCACAATATAAATACATTAAAGTGTTTGACTTTGTCAGGGAGGGCTAATACTTTAGTCTCCAACTGTATACAAACAATGTACAGAACACACATCTCATCATATAACAGCATTGACACTGTATATGACAGTCCATCATAACACTTTCATCTATTCTATATATATATAGTTTTATATATATAGCAGCCACATTTATCTTCTACTACAATGCCATCAACACACTTCAGTTCAGGAGCAGAATTGTCAAGGCTTCTTGTTGCATCTCCAACTGTCGGCTTGTTGCAACACAGAGGCAAAGACAGACAAACAGAAGACACACGGACGCCGAGGCAAAAAATAAATAAATCACACAGCCGACAGCTTAGAAGTTGATTGGGTTTGAAATAGGATTTACGGTGACGTCAGCTCCCGTCACTCACAGATAAAGAGAGAGAGAGAGAGAGAAGGAAAAAACTACAATGAGGTGTGACAACCCCCCGTGTTTGAATATATTGTTAAAGACAAAAGAGGTCCTGGCAGTTTGCGGCTGAGGACGTGGATGTGGATGGTGCTGTGCTGGAGTGAGAGCAGTTACCCATGCAAGATGGAACTGTGGGAGGCTGGACAGGTGGAGGGTCAGGGGAACAGGTTCTGGCACGTAATATTACGATTTTTTACTTTTTTGGGATTTTTTGTTTCTTTAAAATACACTAAAAGGTAGAGCATGCAGTGACTTTTTTTGGAGATAGACACTAAATCATACAAAAGTAAGTCAATAAGAGGTTATAAAAGGCTGCTATAACTGTACGGTGTTTGTTCATATGACAAAAAGATGTCTTTTTTTCCTCTTTTTTTGTGGTCAAAGATTTTCTATTCACCAGTGGAATACAGATCCTGTAGGTGGCACTACATTCAGTCTGACAGCCGCCACTAAATGCAAAGAAGTAGCGTGAGGAGTGAGGCGGGATCAGCTGACAACTAAGGTGGCAAGTGACTACAATGAACTAAAAACGATTTTTTAAAAGAAAAATGTCGTGTTGGTTAAAGTTGCAGTGGAGCAATCATCATATGGGTACAGGAGGTAGCGGCCACTTAATGCTGTGGCTTTAACAACAACAAGACTCCTGCATACTCTACCATTGTTATTGTGAACTTTTACAGTCAAACAATCTAATTATTGAACTGTATTTTACACAAATACAAAGAAAGAATATGTTCATTTTCAGCGCTCTTCTGCTCAGCCTCTCTCCCACAGTTTGGTCCAATCAGGTCCAGCACCACACCAGGCTGCAGCCACACCGTTACCCTCCAGAATATTTTTACGACACGGGAAAAGAACAGCTTTGCCACGGTATTGTAAAGGTGCAGTATTCTCTTTCCACACAGCTGCAGAGCAAAGGACCACAACAGGCCAATAAGTAATCGGTTTACAGTCAATGTGGAGAGGGTGGAGATGTGGAAAACTCCTTTGTTGTTGTTGTGCTGCAGCGTGTATGGAAAAAAGATATAGTGCATCTATTTTTAAAAAAATAAAGAGATCAAAGAGAGTGGCTGCCACAGTGCACAGAGAGGAGAGGATTGAACTGCATGGTCACAGAGACTCAGCTCCCAGAGCCAGGCCTGCAGCCTGGCAAATGCACCCAGTGACCACTCAGCAACCACCCACAGAGATAAAAGAGTGTGTGGACAAACCACCAGCTCAATGAAAGACTGAACAGACAAACATCTGGGTTTCAAATGACTGCAGTGGAGAGAAAAATAAAAGTTGAAAAAAGAAAAATATCTGCAAACAAAAGAAACAAAAGCCCTGCTGAAAGTAAGAACAATTAAAAAAAAAAGAGAACAAAAGCATGACAGACCACTAAAAGCACCCCAGAGCTGAGAGATAAACTAGCGTTTGGGAAGAACAGGTGTACATACCTCCTGAGGAAAGACAACAGCCAAAATCATGGGAACAAACAAACAAACGAAGAGGAAAAAGGAAACAAAAATATTTAAATCAAATGATAAAAGAATTACAGCACCACAGTCCTGATCATTCATGTCCAGGGAGGCTTTGATGCACTGCTTCACAGACCTTTATTTTGTTATTAATTCAGTACCGAATCTGCAGTTTCACGTGAGGCCACAAGGGGGTGGTGTTACTCACAGTGAACAACTGTAAAGCACTGCATGGATCTTTGCCTCCACCTGGGTTCATTTTAGTGAAAACCAGGAATTTACCTTCCACCTTGATTAATAACATTTGTCAATATGAAGTTATTAGAAAAAGGAATAATTCTTGACTTGTCTTTTTGTTGCCGGTTGTAAAAATCGACAGTGACAGCAATGATAAACTGAATATAACAATACTTCAAGAAAATCACTGTGAATCTGTACAATGGTAGATCTGAGAGAAAGAACAGGACGAGAAGGTCAGTAGATATCTGCAGTTATCATGACCAACAAGAGTAACAAAATACAACAGAAAATTGCCTCAGGTCAAGGCAAAATTCCCCTGTAAAAGTTCACTTAAAAAAAATGTAGTAATATGTACAATAATACCCAGCCACACCTTTTATTATGAACAAGGCCTGATAAAAAATACAAAAATATTTAACTTAAAAATAATAATAATAAATTGTTTATATTTATTAATTTTACATTAAAGAGGACAGAAATGCTTTCAAATATTATGTCTTTGAAAATGACTCACATCTGCTCCCACACAATTTTATCTTTAAACAGTGTGAAATAATCTGTTCCAAAACAAAGCAAATCCATTCATCAGCACAGTAATAATGATGTATAGTTCCTAAAACTGTTCCTCTGCTGACACTCACCCAGCTTTAGCAGCCAGCCCTCTCTGTCCGGGTTGAAGAAAGTGTGTGTGAGGTCGTTGCCGTCGTCCTCTGGGATTTTAAAGGGCTCGTTCTTGATGCTATCGTACAGATTCTGCAGCACAGGGAAGAGGTCGGCATTAAAACGTAACAGCTCTGAGGTTGGAGTGGTAAGAGGTCAGAGGTCAGAGCGGTCATCAACACTCACCCTGAGCAGATCTTCAGGTAAGTCTCCTCCATCGTTGATGCCTCTGTTCATGGAGATGATCCGCTCCACGGTGGGCTTGTCCTTCACGTTGGGGTTGTGGAGGCTTGTGTTCAGCATGATGATGGCAAATGAGAGGATGTAACAGGTGTCTGCAAATATTACACACACACAACCATGCAGATTGACAACAGTGTGAAAGAAAGGCCGGGGATTAGCAGATGGCAAAAGGTCGGTGTTTATCTTAAAATTGCCTCCAGTGTTCACTGTGGTGTTCAAATATAAATGGGATTTAGCTGCAGAACAAAAACCCAGAGGAACACATCTGAGTTCCTGTGTGGGCAAAGGAATGGATTTTAGTCAAAGTCTAGGTTTGCATGTGTACATAAAGATACACACTTCTTAATGTGTCTACACTCAAAGACAATGCGGCCTGTGCACAGCTGATGCAGCAGCACTTAATCTGGACTGTGAGGTGGTGGAACAGCCCTATGTATTATTCACATCCATCTGCAGTCATGTGAGAGGCAGTCAGCCTGTCTGCACCATGCATTAGCTACCAAAGCCAAACACTCTGCTATAATACGATTAACATGTGCAGATTCAATGCAGAGTATTTTCCAACATCAGCGCCACTAAAGTGATATTGGATTGTAAAATACAATATTATATGGAATTATATTATATTATTTTTGTGAGAGCACTGAAGACTGCCAGGATGCTCTGCAGCAAAGAGCTACCTGTAGACTGAAAAACGCCGGAGTTGCACTGGCAGTAACGCTGAGCAAAGGCCTCCATCATGCGGTCAATCTTCTGAGCCTCACCAGGAAGCCGAAAACTCCACAAGAACTGTCTGTGAAGGAAACACAGTTTAGGGGACTGACAAAATATTTATTTCCCTAGAGAAAGTGGAAACTTTCATTTTCTGACAAAAAACAAACTGAAGTATTGCACCAAAAATGTAAAAAATAGAAATAAAAAATAAAATATTTAAAGCTATTATATACAGTTTTTAGAAGCTACCGTGATGAGCATGAAGCAAACCTGGGGTAATGTTGTCTTACCTTAAAGCCTGAACCAGGTTAAGGTCTGTGAACTCATGCAGCTCCACAAAGGCATGAAGCACTTGGATATTGAAATCATCTCTGTGGGAGAAAAAAAATTGGATTATCTGAAGCAATAATCTATCAGAGGATTAGGGTTAAGGTTAGCTCCCTACTTACTAAAAGAAAGCAGAGATTCTATGTTGTTCTACACCTGACCAGCAAGTAAATGAAACATTTAAGCAGGCAAACACAAGACATAAACATCTGAAAACCATCATTCAATGGTTTTTAAATTTGCACAAAACCCCAAAAATCCTGTTTGGTCAACTACGGTTAGAAAACATTTTATGGAGAAGCACTGTGTATTTTGTTCAAAGATTCAAATCATTGTGTTATTGACAGCTTGATTTGTATTTTAAGTCTCTGTTAAAAACAATAAATAATGTGTTTGTGCTTAATAAACATTTAAAAGAGTTAACAAAAGTTCTTAACAAAAGTTAATTAAGTTGTTAAAACAGAAGTCATTTAGATGTAAATTAAAATTCCACTCAGGGGCCCAAGCTCAAAAAGCTTTTCAGAGCCTGGTGATAAGCCTCATCTTCCAATCTAAACAAATAGGAAAAGACAAGCATCCTGCACCTTCCATTTATCATCTAATCTTGATCATGACATCACCCACGACCTTTGTGCCCTTCAGAGTAAATAATCTGCCACTGTGGGATCATGGGATGACTCTAAGGAGAGCTCATTGTCAGTGCCCTCCCTTCTCCTGTCCCCCGTGGACAAGGGACCAATCGTGTATGGAGAACCCTGGCACACTCCACACCACGCCCCTCAGATCACAAATCAGAGACACCCTGAGCTTAGTAGTAAAGAAGCACAGAGCGTTCATCAACAGCCTGTTATCACTTCCAGGAAGCTGGTCCTCACAGACTACAGCCTGGGAGAGATGAGAGTGCGCTTCAGAAAACAAAAAAAACCAATCTGTCTCCAAACACATGCATACTGGTTTTGTGTTATCACTGTCACGTATGAATGAGTTGGATAATCTGGGACAGATGGAGGCTGTTGAGCAACAAGCTCAGTCGTGACAGGACAGTCAAAATGTGGGACTAATAAAGAATGTTTGGGAAAGGAAGGGTGTGTCCCAGACTAGAAGGAAACGGAGCAATGCGGAAAGTATGCACTCGCCATGCGATGCTCTTATTAACCACATGGTCTGCTGCCGGTTGATGATGGACAGCGTTAAATAAGTATGAGGATAGACGGAGAGTAAAGATTTAAAAGGACTTCGTCTGAACCTTTCTCCGAGGTAATCCCCAATTGCTGTTTTGTTAAGGCCCTCGCCCTTGTAGAGAAACTGAGCAATGTCATCACTGGTGTTCTTCAGCAAGTCGTTCTCGATCAAGAACTGGATCCCCTGAAAAAAGAGAGTGAGCCAAAGGTCACGTCCTGCTTTGAGGAACTCGTGAGGGAAATTATATTTTCACAGGTGACTTCCACGTACCTTTTTGGGGTCCATGTTGAATTTCTTGCGGCCCATAGCCACCTGTTTATTCCTCTGCATATTTTTCCTGACACATGAGAAAGTTTGGTTTTTAGTTGTTTTTTTTGTAGTTCTCAGTGCAAACATGATTCAAACAGAACTTTTTTAAAATTATTTACAATACTAATTAACCTTGGTGTTTATAGCAATTTTAGTTAAAAATAAAGCTGCCTGAATTTTTTTTATTTGTTTGTTGTTACCCCAAATAATCTTTAAAATACCCAAGGTGTGTTTATAATTTATTGACAATAAAATAAACAGATGTTCTTGTGTATGGTCATTGGCATTCTTGAAGTTGCACCTGCCCGAGAATATTTTTGCTGGCAATCATTACCAGTAAAGCATTCCATAAACACTGTCAGACATTTCTGAAAAAAAGGTTTTTCACACACATATCAAATTAATAGTTTGTTATTGTGTTCCTTCCACTTGGCTCGGAGTCGTGATAAATACAGTCATTTAATTTCCTGATATCTTTCCTGTATCTGCCATGTGCTGAACTTTTACTCCCGATGATAAAAGCATTTAACATCATACATATGGGAAAGTCTCATTTCTCAGGCCTGGAGTTATTTGGGGGTCAAAGTAAACCCTTAGAGTCCAGCATCACCATGACTACATCTACATCCCTGCCGGTGAGAGGTCACCATTTATTTCCGCTGACTCATTCACAGCAGCATTCCTTTGGCTTTTGTCTGCTTAAATGCAACACTCAGCCAAACAGATGCTGCAAAAACAGAGACTGCATCTTAACATCCTTCTGTGAATCATAGGAACGAACAGATCATCAGGAAGGTGCTGGAACTCTTAATGGGTTTCAGATCTGAGCAAGAAGAGAGCTGCAGGAATATTTGGGAGCTGATGGGATCTCCACTCAGTTGAGTAGACCAAACACCAAGCTCTGACTCCCCTTGAGACCATCCATTGTCTGCTGCTGCTCGTACAACCACTGCATTATTCAATGAGGCCTCCCATCATGGGGGTTCTCTGATGAAACATTTAAACTGCCCTAAAAGCATTGCCAATTTGGTGAGGGAATTGGTTGAGATGGGCGTGTCCACCACTGCCATCTGACATGAATAATTGACAGCTTCATTTGCTAAGTTAATAGAAGAAAACAGTGCAACAGGCCTAGTTAGCCAAAAACAAAGAGGCTAATTCCTTCATGGCAAAGACGGGTCACATTTCTCTCACCTCTCCTCAGTGGAACCCAGGTTCTCAATCTCACTGGTCACTTCTGCTATCTCATCCTTCAGACGCTGCAGAGAAACATACAAGCAGAGGTCAGACTTAAAATGATTATAGTGTGAGATTCATTTGTTACATCGACATCTTTTCAAATCAAACAGACTTATGGATCATTTTTCTCGTCCAAGCTGAACCTGTTGACACAGCTGTGAATCTTTTGGTCTTACAATTTGATTACCAAGTTGGCAAATTGATTTGTTTCTAATTCGCAATGCATCATAAAGCATTGAACCTCAAATCCTCTTAACTGACACAGTAATTTATGATTATGCAACATGAAAATGACACTAAACAAAAAGAAGATGCAAAATAACTTTTTAATTTACCCACAAAAAAAATTCTGTGTACAATCTTATAGCCATATTTGAGGTTGAAATATGATTTTAACCTATAACAGGTTACAATAGTAACTTGTTTAGCTTGTAATGTCAGGTTTCATCTTTCATCTAGTCAAAAGGTAAAAAGCATTAATTACCAATTTCCTCCTTTATATACATAAATATAACTGTGCTATGGGCTCAAAAGAAAAGGACATGGACTGTGTTCCAGGACAAGAAGTCACACTCAGCCTCTGAAAGTCCATGTCCTTAACTCTGTTCACAGGGTTTGTGCTTATCTGTGAGTGTCCTTTAAAAGAAATCTCTCCTTCTGAATGTGATTAGGCAGAGACCATTCAGGATAACCTCAATACAAATGGAATAAAAAGGGCATAAAGAGGATTAAAGTTTGTGACGCTCTCCGTCATTATTGACCTCAGAGGAGGTTTTTGAACAATCACACTGGTGCCAGACAGGCACAGTAGAGCCATTGAGGTGAGGGTGATATCAGGTTGATAAAAGACTGGGAAAAATACAGCAAAAATAAATAAATAAATAAAGGAAAAACAAACTGGCTTTTGGTCAGTTCTTTGTCTGTGGTAGTTCATCATCATTTCTCAAACATAATACCATAATACTCACTATAGGCCAAACCACAAAGGGAACATCTGTATTTTCTGTGCAATCACAACACATTCCTTAGATTCTTGTCTCTGCAAACAAAGGCAACGCTCATACAGGGAAGTGGGTGGTTACAGGGTGGTGCTGTGCTCTAGTCCCAAGTGTGGGAGGTTGAAGGGAGACTTAAGGAGTGGACTGTGCACCACCATGGTGACGGTTTAGAGAGACAGGGGGGAGGTTCGTGGCCATTAAGGGGAGAGTGTCAGATCACTTCTCTAATGTTTGTCAGGGTGAGTGGAAGTTTAAACCGGGACACATGGTGGACACCTCTGTGTCAGACCTATGTCAACTGATTAAGGAGCCAGTTATTGATTGACAGGATCGACCTGGGCCAGAATAATCAGCTGAAGCCATGAGAAGAAAAACTTTAATCATTATATGACGGACAAAAACCAAACAAACCACCGAGGGGATTTTTACGTGATCTGATTTGAAGCACTGTGATGAGTCAAGATTTTGTTCAGAACAAAGTCTGAAATTGGGTTCTGAGCAATTGTCCTTCTTATTCTGTTGTAATCTCATGATTTTGTGTAGCCCTTTCACAGTAAAAGATTAGAATTCTGAGATTCAAGTTGATATTGTTGATTCAAAGAAAAGTAAATCTAGATCTGGCTCTAACTTTTAATTTCTGGGGGAAAAAAACAACAATAACACAACTCTGGAATTCATTGTATTTCTGTCAGACTAGTAGGAAGGACGTGAAAACTGTTTTATTTGATGTTTTTCCTCTACTCCACATCAAATCACACCACTACTTTAAATAACGTTTTATTTGAAGCCACAATTCAATAAAAACACCATAAAAGACAAACTGTAGCCATAAAAAAACATTTCTGTTATCAACATACAGCTAGAAAACACCAGTCACTACACCATGAAAAGAAAAGATTTGCCACGGGTCGAGTCGTCTTGGTAGGAAATACTTCACATTCCACTTGGGGTTAAATGTTTGAAGGACTCCTAACAAAATAGTAATTTGAACAAAGGCTGGAAAATCCCTATATTTACCGAATGTTCAATGACAAAACCGAGGTCGGACGACTGGTGGTGTGTGGATCATCCAGTAGTAGTCCTGTGTTTCAGGACACGGACATTATTTGGGCTATATTTATTTTATCAAAAAAAACATATTTAAAACAAAACTTACTTGTACTTTGCAGTCATCCACATTAAGGCATTAACATTGGTGTATCTACATGTTTGATCAAACTAACCTAATCGATTTATAGTATCAGTTCCAGTGTTACCTGAATGTCCTCCAGCAGCTCCTGTTTGCGCCGGCGGATATTCTCCAGCTCCTGCTGCTCCTCTGGGGTGAGGTCGTCTGGCACTGTGGACAGAGGAGAGGAGAAGATGATGTTAGCAGTGATGAAAACTATTAACCTTTCTGACACCTTTACAAGAGATGGCGCTATTGTTACTCGATTATTTCTCGACATCAAAAGATTGACACTGTTGGAGCAAGGGGGTACAATGTCAGGTAGACGGCTCGAGCGAGAGGAGAGAAAGTCAAACTGTGAAGTATTACGTGCTCTGAGCTCTCATGTGACTAATAGAAATAACTCAGATCAAGGGGACACCTCTGAACCTCAAAACTACATGCAGTAGCGCAAACGTGACATGTCCCACAGGAACATTACTTCTGTCACTCACTCCACAGATGGTTATAATTAGTTTTGTCTCCACCAAGAACTCAGGGCCGGGCAAAGCTGTCCTATTTGACGGCCTGTGTTTCGCCTTACAAGACAGCGCTACCTGCACTGACAGCATAAAAAATGTACTGTATTATCAGCAGTCTCATTCTAAAGGTAGACCGAGCACATTCTGTGTTTCCTTTGCACTTCAACCATTTCCTCTTTACTTGTGGTTTTTCAGAAAATCGAAAACATTTTTTTTTTTTTAGAAAGCTGACAGAAATAATCCTTTTTGTAGACTGCACATGTTTCCAAACAAAGTGCTCAAAACACATACTCATGATAAGGCAGGCAAAATACAACAAGGTACATTGGGGTACCAATAATGAGGACATTTTTATGGTTTAAAACACTAAACTAAATCCTCTGAGAAATGTCAAATGACTACTGTGGGCCAGACTGCATTAAAAGGAATTTACCATTAGGACACAACTATATACCAGCTTGTTGAGCAGCCAAGCATCAAGAGTAAGCTGCAGCCACCCTGGGTGTTCTGTTTGAACATTATCTCTGGCACTTGATAAATTGTGTTCCTATTGCCCCAGTGGCCAAGAACAAGTTGCCTTCTTCGACCTCTAGTCCTCTTCACCAACGTTACTTCTGTGTGAGGGTATAAAGGTCAATGGCACTCAGGCCAAGTCTGTAAATGTTTGCAAATGGTCGAGAGGGTGAATTTTAACAGTAAAGTAAGAACAGTTAAATCTTCAACTAAAGTCCCGACCTGTTTTACCTGTTTTTAATACAATCCAGAGGTCTTATTTGTCCACGTACACCCCGTCATCCTGTAGAAGTGTTCACATCAAAACTTTGCCATGCAAAGCACCTACAGCAAGGACTCGATTAGTCAGTGAGAAATCCACGTCACTTCATTTTAATAACATTAACATTCCAGAGCAAATAACCATGGCATTCACTCAGAATGTCTGCTGTGAGACAAACAGTTAGTGACAGGAGTCTCCATAACAAAGCAATGTTGTTGAAGAGTGTTGTTTTCAGACAGCTGGGCTAGGCCTCTATTCAGGACTGACCTTTCACACGTCATCTCTCACAGCCTACAGGATCGTTGTCGATGCAGGCACATCCATCCTAAATGTTCTGGGTTTCCATAGAAACCACCAGTGCAAGCTCATTACGTGGCCCACAGCAAATACAGACACTAAAATAAATAGTTGCACAGCTTTGTTGCTGTTGTTTTTTTATATAGTTAAACAGATCCCTCAGGAGCATCTCATATTGGGTAATCTTGTGAAGCCACAATTCAACCAACAAGAAACACACAAGAAAGAGCTGATGTTTCCCTTCTTGTCTGAGGAATAACCAGGATCCTTGCATTTATCGATCTTCCTCTCTACTGATTAGAAGTTAATGCAGAGCACAACAAAATCTGGACTGTGCAATTTTTTGGGAGGCAAAAATAAAACCAAAAGCAAAGTATGAGCTTGAAGCAGGAAGTTTCCTCAGAGCATGAGGTCAGGTTGGGCGGCTGGCAGACGCTGACAGAAGCCACAGTGCAGCACAGCAGGAGAAACCACTTCGTTCCTGTCATGGAAGAGCACCACAAAGTGACAGACTCACAAGAGAAGTGAAAGAAAGGACTATAATTTGACAGAGAAGAAGAGGCAAAAAGAAACTGAGCAAAGGAAAAAAAAAATATTTAAGAATCCAAATTGTCTGTTTGGACCCTTCAAAATCACATACAGGATTATTTTATCCATCTGTAGGGCAGATGCCAAAGTGCACTGGCACAATCCACCGTGTCACCTCACACGGTGTCTGAAGTCGCCCACATCATCAATTTTACAGCAAGCCAATCTGCACACTGCACTGTCTTCCTGATTTCCCTCCATAGTTTTTAAACCACATCAAGGAGAAGGGGAAGGCCCCACCCACACTTATGCCAGCTACAGGCCTCAAGTGGGTGTCATGTTCCAAAATAGAGCAAACGTAGGGGGAACCCTTCTGCTCAAGTTAATGCTGAGAGCTGTTCGATTAAGTTCTGTCTGCTGCTGGAATGATGTTCAGCCAACCACTGCACCCACATCAGCAGGCAATCATCAAAAAACACAGGAAGTCAGAAAGACAAATGATTGAGAGGGCAAATGAGGTAAAAGGCAAGCGATGACAGAGACTTGGTTCCCGTAGAGATGGGTTTAATGATAATTGATTGTGTTTTATGATCCACGCTCACAACCACACACTGCTAATATCCGACTTCAAAATGTATACGTTGAGTTTATTGAAGGCTGACAGCCTTTACAACAGCAAAAAGGGGAACGCAATAAGAGCAGTCACAAGGCAAAGTAAGGTAAATGTTTGTGAGGAGTTGTACTGTATGTATGAGAGCATGCTAAATAAATATAAATAAAATGATCGATTCTCTATAAATTACAGCCTGACTGATTCTGCAGCAGTATTGTTCAGTAGAGAAGGGATGGATCAATCACGAACAGAAGACATCTGAACATCGGCGCTCAGGGAAAACAGTTGTTAAGATTCCTCTATTAGGTGTTAACACAAATACTACACCTATATTAACCCTTATAATGTCTTCCCAAGTTCCAACACCCTTGGTGTTCTGGGGTCAAAAATGACCCGCCTGGTTTGATATACTATTTATTTAGTATATGGTATAGTACATGTTGTCAATTAATTATTTTATACACATTTAGGAGAAGCAGTTTAGTGTGAGGGTTAGGTCAGCAGGGACCATGAATAAAGTGCCATTGAGGGAGTCCTCATTTGTAGCCCTCTCTCTCTCTCTCTCCATCTTCCATCGTGGCAGAAGAGGCAGATGTCTCTTTTTCACCCAGTGACCTCAGAAACTCTCTGTGGAAAAATCCAAAAATTAGAGATCTGAGTGCTGAAGGATCTCCTCTGTCTGCTCTCTGCAAATCTGACCCAATTTAGCTGCTCCACTCAGCATATCAAGGCCAACATATACTGGAAACCCAAATCCTAGGCTGGTGGAATGACCTACCAGCCTATAATAAACCCAGAGAACGTAAGGGTTTCTCTCTCCTTTATGCCATGTTTAGTTCTCCCACATTACAGCTAAAGTGACAGTTTTTCTCAAACTAGGTGAAAATGTAGGAACCCAAAGTCCAAATCCCCAATCAATTAGCCTTTATCCCCAATCAATACAAGGAATAGCTGTTAAAATAAACAAGGTTGTCATATATCTACAGCAAAACACACAAAGGCTCATGTGACCTGGGATGAACGTATATGACGGGTCATTATAGAGCTTCAAGGTCTGTCTGATCTTGTCTACTGTTTGTTTCCTGTAGGAGCAAAGAAGAATTATGAGGTTGATTCATCTAAGGATCTTAGAAATGAGAGTCAATCTAATTACCAAGGCAAATCCCACAGGGACTCTCCCTCATATATTTTTAAACCATGCACACAAACCTACACATGGTTTCGTAACTTCAGAGGACATTAAACTGACACGACATTCATTTCCTGAAGGCGAACGCTGGGCTTAACCCTAAAAAAAAAAAAAACTTAAATTAGTAACTTGCACTAATCCACTAACCTAGTCACCTCAAAAATACAAACAACATAAACATTACTCATACACAAACACCATCAGTTTCTGAACTAGACTGCCTCCAGGAAGGCAATCAGTGGCTGTGATAGAATGCCAGATTCGTGGGCATGAGCCCAAAAGAACTCGTTCACCTATGACCTCCTGATATATTGCTTCCAAACACACAAACGCATTCCATGGTGGGACCCAAGAGGACCACCACGTACGGATCCAAAAGCCTCAAAGACTTCAAACTGACCTGGCCTGAGGGTAGGAGGAGGTGAAGGGCGAATGAGACAGAGAGGAGTGAGGAGGAGAAGGAGCCTTGTGTTTGGCCAAGGAGGTTTTGGGACAGTGAATAGTAGGACAACACAGGGACAGTGGGAAGAGCAGTGGGACGTTCACAGTTTGGTCATTGTGTCTCAGGACATTCCTGAATGAGACTCCGGCTCGTGAACTGTCACAGCTATAGCAATGCAGAATTGACTTCGAGATTAAGGTTAAGAATTGTGCATTCGGTAGTTGCCCCTTTTTTTATTCTACAATTAACAATTAACAATTAACACAAGACACTGGCACACATTACAAAAGGGGCTACCTAAGAGTGATTACGGTTTAGAGTGACAGATCACCTGAGCAGAAAAACATTGGACACAAATATTAATCTAAAAAAAATATTCATGGTCTAAATTGAAATATTGGTACTACCATGAGTACTCACTGACTAAATCTCCTGCCCTGTTATTATGTGCATTGACAGCATGTAACCCCCAGTCAATGTAAAATGTCTCATGTCACATATGACTGATAGACAATTTCAAAGGATCGATTATTCAAATAAATACACAAGCATCAGTAAAACTGCTAACCTGACTCAGAAATTCTCCAAAATGTCACTTTTGTTCCGGTTTCTTCCTGTACTGGTAAACTCGTACTGGTCCTCACCCCGTCCTCACCCCTTCTTCTGTCACCTCCTGTTAGATTCAGTCCAGCTGGACCTCCACATGTCAAGTGGCAGAGAGAAGGAGCCTGCTCCTCCAGTCAGGCAGAGAAACTGCCAGGGTTTTCATACATACGGCACAAATTTCAGCTCCCAGCCGGTTTCACAGCGCACACACACTGACTCAGTCCAGCTGGGGACGGAGCCTTACTCACTACTACCTCCTCCTCCTCCTCCACCTCCTCTCCTCCTCCTGAACACTCGGTTTTACTATCACTACCATCACCATGAATGCTCCACCCAGTGGTCAGTTCCCTTTCTGCCTTTTCATTTATTTACTCTCCCTCTCTGATACACAAACAAGAAAGCAGAACAACAAAGACTATACACGGTTGGTGGTGAGTTATTCTTTTTTACAATACATAAAATATGCCAAGCAAGGAAGTCAAACTTTTACAGAAAGCAATGAAAGACGCTCTTGTCCAAATATTTAGTAAATATATGTTTCAGTCTTTTTTGAATGTGGCGTAAATGAAAATGTATATAATAATAATCACCAGTCACATGATGAGTTATACTGTGATTATTAGCTCTAAAATCCAGCATGGGCAAGGTAAAACTAAAGATATTTTTAATGTGTCTGAGCATTGACCTGATGTCAATGACGAACCTGTGAGGACTTGCACACACTGGCATCTGGTGTGTAAACAGCAAGGAGCAGACGTTCGCAGTGGCATCATGTATGTACAGAGTCACAGTCAGATGAGTCAACCTGGAGCCCTCTGCTGTGCTAACTGCTCCCTGCAGTCTGCAGTCCTCTGACTAACAAGCAGAGGTTTTTTTCCCTTCAGATTACAATTATTTAAAAATATCAAAAGTAATAGTTGTAGATCAAACTTAAGGAAGACCAAACGTTAATTTGAGGTAGATTATGAGAGAAAGAGAGATGAAAAATAGGTAAGAGGTCAACACTGTGTCAAGTCAGCATTTTCATAACCTGGCCATTTGCCATCGTATAATGAAGGAATGTCTGGGTTTAAATGAGTTCAACTTTCGCTGGAATTCAATCTCTCGTCTGGGCCATTACTGTGTTGTTTTTTAGGAGCAAAACCATTTTTTCCATTTTTGTTACGCTTTTCAAGGGATCCAACAACAAAGCTCGGTACCAAGACAACAAACAGGAAAATATCAAAAATATAAAATAAATATAAATAAAATATCACAAGTAGACCAAAGTGAGTTTTTCAGTGGAATGAAAATTTCAGTGGAATCTGTATGTGGTACAAACATCAAAAATGTACCTGCTACCTCGATGCACTAAAGTTCAGCCCACTGCTCCAGTGCCCTAGTTAATAACTGGGGTGCTTCATGTTTTAAATTGGGAAAGTAGATTTCCCCTAAACCGCTGAATATTCATGCTACTTCTTTTCGTCCCACCGTCTCTTATTAAAAGACTCTTTCTAAGGTGTTCAAACGCCTTGATCACGTCCGGATTAGACAGAAAAATTGTCAGGTGATACCAGCCATTCACAACTAGTGCAGAAACCAAAGTAAATTTCCTGTGTGGACGTCCTCCTTGCATTTGGCCTTGTGGCTCATACGGCTGGAGTTAGTCTAATAATTCACCAGTGACAAAGAGGAAGGTTCCTCGCACAATGACCTCGTCCCACCCCCACAGAACACAATGGCATTGTCAACAGTGTCCATAGTCGGTCTGATAACTGTGCTGGAATGTTCCAGCTGGAAGAGGTGATTGGTTGTAACTGGAGGCCACTACACCAGTACATAACTTCAGGGCATCGTCCCACTGCTCTGTGCCAGACATATATACATAAACACACACATACATTGCCGTGTAAAAGTCTCTGAACTATGTTTTTGAAAATTATCAACATGAATTGCCTTTCAAGGCTGAGGCAAAAGTAGATGTGCTATTCCTACCCACAATGCACTTCCTCTCAATCAAACGGCCTTGATTCCTATCTGGACTGCCTTTCTGTAAAAACCCTATATTGTCAACAGAAACACAGGCTCACTCAAATAATGCACACCCATCCAGAAAACAGATGAGGGAGTAACCATCTCCTGTTAATCATATTTGTGCATTTTCTATAGAGAAACATTTCTTATAAACCCACAAACAAACTGTGGGGTGTCACTTCCCGTCAAGTCGTATGTCAAACCCAGCCTTCCTGTTTGTGAGTGGTTAGTACAGAAGAGTGAAAGCTTTGGCTACATCCACCCATCCTGTGGGAAATGCAATAATGCCACCAGAACAGGGGGCATCCCTGCCTATTTTCAAAAAGCTCAAAAATAGCCGTCTCATTTCAAAAGTTCTTCTATATAGCTTGAATGTTAATTCTCTTCTGGTAAGTCGCTTTGGATGAAAGGGTCTACTAAATGCATGAATATAAAACGGTTGCGTTATCTTTGCATAGTGCAGAGACGACAATGTGGTTGTTGAACCTCTCTCATCCATGACTGAATGTAGCTAAACAGCTGCTCTCAGGCAGTGATTCTTATTTGCATCGCTCAATTTCCCAGAAACTGTACCAATGTGAATAACAAAAAAATAAATAAATAACCAAGACTCCACCTTAGTCTTTCAGTTACGCACATAGGTTATACTGTACAGTTATATTATATTGTGCTACATCACATGAAGTGGACAAATTCAAACCAAGTGATAATTTTACATAACCTAAAATGTGCTACTTTAGAGAACACTATTTGTTTCTGTTAGGCCTGCTTGCCAACAGCAGAATATACAAGCTTCTTACCAAAGGTGAAGTAGATATTAGAACTTCTGACTGAAAAGTGTCTGAAGTGACTATAAAAAAGTGAACAGTGGAGCCAGCAGAGAAGGAGTAGATGAGCTGTTGCAACTGGTGCAGGAAGGAGGCTAAAATGAACCTCAAATGCGATTATGGCTGGAGGAGGACGGTGATCAAACCATTTGGGGCATTAGTGCCAGGCAGGGCACATTGTTAGAGCGCTCAGTACCTCTCATTAGAGCACCATTAGTGACAAATACTTAAACTTTCCAGACCACCCACCTATAAATGGCAGAGACAAATGGAATGGAAGAGGATGGACTGTTCTCATCACTTTGCCTGAACAAACAATACAGCTGTGTGCAACCTAGGCTCAGTCTGGTCCACTGGGCTACAACCGCCTCTAGTTTGCCTGAACAAACAATACAGCTGTGTGAACCGCCTCTAGTCCCCCCCCCAAGTACCGGCAGTACAAAGGAACTCCAGCATCATACATCGGCAGTCAGTAAGAGGCTTACTGTATCCAAAACAATTACTGGTGACGCAAGTGAGGGATTCTAATTAATAATGCCAGACTAGCCTAGTCCAAAGTATGCGAGCGTCATACAGAAACAAGGGCTTTTTGTGTATATTTAAATGCACTTATGATGGACCATGTGGGTTGGATAGCAGACATGGTAAATTATATAGCCTTACTGTCAGTTGGTAGATGGCAAAAGTCATAGTGTTAAGTGCCTGAGATGACAGTATGTCCCTCCATGACAACACTGGAGCAGTGAACACAATCACACCTGTTGCTCTGCCTTCAATGACAAACAACACGCTCTATGAGGAAATGAGTGTAAAACTAATAAAAGAATACAACATTGGCAGGATATGATGATTATTAAAAACACAGACGTTCAAACAATTACATCTAAGACTTACAATGGGTTTCGGTTATTTTGTAAACACATTGTAAACTTAAATTGTACTTTGTTATTAAAGCAGCTGCTGCGCTGCCTTAACCAGTGTTTTCCTTGTAAATAAGAGCTGCTATTTACACCATGGAAAATACTATTTATACTTTGCCAAGGAGGTAAGTTTGGCACCGTTGGTCTTTTTTTTAAGCACTTTTGAAATTGAAGGGGAAGTTATGAGTTTCTGGTGGAGATCCAAACACAGTTAGGAATGTTTATATAACCACTGTTAACTTTTCCCACAATGTGGTGGTATCATGGGAAACACAGAGGCCTGGATGGGGATTTTCATTCTTTATTTATTGTCATTTTGTTATCATTCTAAGACCAGTGTATCAATAAACATCAATTAACATCTTCGGGTTCCACTCCAGGCCCAGACTGTAACACACAGGCAATGACTAAACCATACTAGTAATTTGGATTTAGACACATTTTCCCAAAAACATTAATTATAGAACCTACTTTTTGAGGTGACAAAACATAACATAATTTTTGGTGTTGGCAAATTTACCTATTCATTGCAGCTCATTTATGTAATGTCCACTATATTTTTTATTTATAAATATAGCCAGGTCAAGTGATTTAAACTTGTATAAACACAATTTTGTAAAGGTATAAATAAGTAATAGTGAATAAATACCCAAGCCCTTACTCTCAAACGGAAGTGGAAGGGAAGTGTTTATTTTAACATGAATTGTGGCTAGTGTATATATATATAAACATATTTATATATATATAAACATATATATATATATATAGAGAGAGAGAGAGAGAGAGAGGATTAAGTTATTATTTGTAGCTCTGTCCATTTATTTTATTTATTTATTTTGAGAATAACGTGGACAAATGGCAACGCAGTAAGCAGTAAACACTGTCAACAAGAACACATACAAAAGAACACGTTTCCAATAAAAGCACTATACATGTTTATTTTTTAAGCGTGAATTGCACCTGACCAGTGTCGTTTTACAGTCGTTAACATCTCCTGGACCGGTTTATTCCAATAGCACACGTATTGGCGTTTAAGCAACATTCAATTGTAACTCGACTCTCTTCACTCACCTATGCCGTCTTCTGACTTTAACACCATGCTGTCTTCGCCACGCAGCTACCGGTCCAAGAAGTTTAAAAACTATTTAAAAAACAACAACAACACAGCAGTAAAATGGCTTTAGGGGAAAAGGTCGATTTAACTATATAACTGGATAAAATAGTTGATTTTCCGGGGAGTAGTTCGTTCGCCGAGCGTGTAGACAGTAGAAGGAGTGGTCTAAACAGACGGAGGACTTTAACCTAGCTTTCTCGCTTTCTGTCAAGGGAACGACAAAATGTAATCAAACCGCTTCCGTTTCTGCCTTGTCAAAATAAAACGTATAAATTACAAAAATATAAGGGAAGAAGTTCGTTATAAACATAAATACATGACACTTCCCTAAAATTTAAAAAGTAACAGACGGATACACTTTAATGTGCGCATTGTTTAATCATGATTTTGAAGGAACTACAGCATTCAAGATTGGAGTTTCTTTGTTAAAATGAAGGGCCACATTTCATTGGTTGTTGACTGACATAGTGTCAACTATGGAACATCATAAGATTGAAATCGTATTAAAGCATAAAAACACCCTTCTTCAGAAAACATTTTATAATAGAAATGCAAGTGCACGATTAATATAGTTGGACTAATAGTACGTCTTGAAACTTATTTATAAGGAAACCTGTTGCAACGCCATGAGTTGCTTATCTCTGTTCTCTTGACTTACTCCTCAGACTGAAGGTGCAGCTATTGACATTTCAAATATGGGCTCCACCCAGTTACCTTGGAACATGTTTCTCTCTGCCTGTTCTTGCTGGGGGGAGGGAGGGAAGTAATGAAGGTGTGATTGACACACACTGATTCAACTCTGTGCGTATGTCTGGAATATATTGCTAACTTCTGTTCACCACATCCTTCCAAAAACTTAGTTTGCATGTACGTTTGGTTGTTTATTATCACCGTATATTTATGGGGTGATTGTTTAGACAGTGGAACAGCTGAAACAAAAAAGAGCAAAGAGACATTATTTTGTTGTGGAATTGGAAATAAATACATAAGAAATCTCTGATGCAAGTTACTGGCATGAATATTCAGATAATTAATTTGATTTTAAATATTTATTTAGTAAAGCTGCATATTTTGGAGCAGAGAAGTCCAACTGGGGAATCGTGACCCCCATAACGTACACAGCGGTTCTGCAGGGATCATGAAAATTTTAGTCAATTTGGACAATTTTTAAATAACTTTTTACCAAAGCTGTCAAAGTAAACACTAGGCCCAGTTATTATGAAACACACTATTATACCATATATATAGCAGGATGACACTTCCAGTTCATCAGATGGTTTTGCTGCACAGATATAGTGCTGTCAGACAGGAGAGGCCTCTGCCTGTACCTGCTTGTCCATGAATACAGCAGGGATGAAAGGAATGCTGCATTCACAGCCAAAGAAAGAAGCCAGTTAGAGCAAGATAAAAAAATCTCTCAGTGCTATCAGGTTCACTCCAACAGAAGGTGTCTTTGAGAAACTGAGGTACAGTTCTGATATCAAGATACCAAACTGTAAGATTCACCCCTGGCTTCAAGACCACACAGGTCCAGAGAAGAGAATCAACACGAGGTTTCTCTCTGAAAATCACAACAGCCTGTAAAGCCACTTCACTGTAACAAACTGCTCTTCAATCTGCTGTTGGACATGAATGCTTCGGTTGTGCGGCCCTGAACTCACCAGCCAACAATGAGAGTCTTTATGAAGTGAACTCTGTGCATAGAAAAGTTTCAGTTCATTGTTATGACTTAATCCATTTCCCCTCGGACAGGCTAACGGACGTAGAAAAAGTAGAACAGAGAGAAATCTGACCTTAAAAAAACATTCAATAAATACAGAGCAAGAGTTTACCTTAACACACAATGTTATTGTTTGTTCCTTAGTTTTAACATAAAACGAGAGCTGACATAATGTGCCAAATCACAAGTATTTACAGTTTTATTTGACAGCAGTAAGAGCACATTTATTTCTTTCTGATAATACTGGGGTTTTTTTACAGGAGTTTTCAGCCAAACAGCGTCTCCACAGTCATGACTGTAAACAATTATTGAAAACATGTTGTATTACCATCATAGGAATTTAACCAGATCGTTGCCTGAGGGGAATTCCCCAGAACCAGTCCAGCACAATGCACCTGTGGCAGTTCACAGTTTTGATCAGTTCCTAAACAGCCCAACACCACAGCCTGAGGTTAAGGAAGTCCCCGAGCGTGAGTTAAGACACGAAGACCCTCTGTGTGAGAAAACCATCTCTGCCTGAGAGGAGATGCAAATAGTGCCCCCGGCTGAACAAAGGCAGTCACTTCAGTCCTGCCACAGAGTAAACAATCATTTGGTTGGCATTTTTTTGTTCACAAGAGAATCCTGTTTGGCAGAGAGCAGCAGGAAACTCTGGGCATGTGGCCATTTCATTCACACAATTTACAGCCACTTAAATAAAATAAAACCACCAGTGTTTGAAGTGTAGGGAGAACCCAAACAGGAGGTGAGGCATCTGTCCAAGAAGCTATTGTTTCTGCGTCCTTCCTTTGAAAAAACAACCATCTGTCCAAGAAGCTATTGTTTCTGCATCCTTCCTTTGAAAAAACAACCACAGCAACGTTTTATTATTTCAACATGATAAAAAGCACGGCACTGGAAATTATGAATTTTTCAATTTCTAGTCTAGGAGTTTATCATAGTAGCATACATTTAAAAAACAACTGGTATAAACATTCTCAATAATGACCAATCTGTATACTTAAACCTCGGTTTAAAGAGATAGCAACACGATAAGAATAACAAAGCAGAACCTTGGCTTGTAATTAGAAAAAAAGCTTTGGCCAAAATAGTTTAAAATTAGTTTATAACTATCAAACTTTAAATGTTTATGATGACGTTTCTATAATTTGGTTTGGCTACAAATAAGTTAAAGCTAAATGTCAGCCACTAAAATGTCAATGTTTCTACACAAAGCTAAGCTAATCCAGAAACAATTTTTACTTCATTTAAATCCAGGTTGATTGTTAGTGGTTTTCTCTTCCTGATGTGCTAACAACTCTTAAGAAATGCCATTGCAGACATCCTTTGACATCAGTGGCTGCAGTTTTATTGCACCATGTATGACTCCACACAACCTGCTGCTGTCACGCTGCTCTGCTAGCACAGGTGCTGGCAGTACTGTAGTAATGAGACCTTTGGATCAATCCATCCTATAATTGTGTGGCTGAAGGGAGGGTGAATGACTCACGTGATATTCCAAGCTCCAGTGTTACTTCTCATGTGTTTGTCAGCGTGAAGTAACAGCACGTATTTAGCCAATTACTTAAAATCTTAGCTTTGAAAAAACATGCTCTTTGACCTGGATGTCAAATGTCAGCAGAATAACAGAAAACGACTTCTGCTTGCACGCACCCAGAAACACAAATGCACACACAACAGAAATGCAGCTGTCAGAGGTTTCAGCGAGGAGTTTTAGGGGGAGGGTGTGAAATGCAGAGGAGACGTGGTGAAGACGGACAGCTGAGAGCCAGGACGAGTCACTCTTCCTTCAGGCGGCCTCACAGCCGTTCACTCTGCACTCCCTGCTGTACTTGACAGAGGTCACCACAGCAAACTCTATCACTCTCCGGGGACACCGCAGGCTGACGAGGCAACTGTTGGTCTGCTCTTCATTATGCAGAAAACCGACTAATAAGCATTCCTTTTTAGGAAGCGCACAATAAACAGTGACTGTCTGCAGACTGGAAAGTTAATAAGGTGTAGGTCAGGTCGTCTAGGTAAAAGTGAAGAGCAGCAATCAGCCTTCACTGCAGCGTACTCTTTAATGAAACAATCTGATTCAGCAAAACTGCTAAAGTTTGTCCTTCTACGCTGATCTGTGTCTCCTCAGCTGCTCCGTACCCATAATCCCTGGGGTCTCCCACTGATCCTGCTGTTGGACAAAAGCACTAACCATTCTTTCACCCAGTGGCCTCAGTCAGTGTCAGTTGTTGTCTCAAAATAGTAAATATATTCATTTTTTATAATGAGAAATCAATGAATATCAATGTTAAAAGTTATAATGAACTTTACAAACAAACACAGATTCAAACCACTTCAACATAATGTTATCATGTAACGATAACAATAAAGAGGAAAACATTGAAAAATGTCAGCCTGGTGAGAAATGAAGTAACTGTAATCAGACTTTCTTCTAAACTCAGAGACGGCTAATACCATAACCAGCACGTCTCTGTTACAGAGGTGACGTACAGGCATTGCTGAGACAGCAGAAGCAGCTGGAGAACTATGACATGAGTCACACATGAATCACTCGTGTGATTCATGATAACCGACGCCACCCAGACTCTTCCCATCAGTGACAAAACTTACAATAGTTCACAAAACAACACCTTTTGTGGTTGGTTGACGTCCATTTCTTATATAATTCTATGATTTTATCACAAAGGAAACAAACCTGGCATTACAGACAGCACATAACGTCCAGAGCACGTCTCTACACAGGGATTATTATTATTATTGGCCAGGGATAGGCCAAAATATTATTAAAAAAACTTAAAAAATTCAAATGTAATCAGAGAATACATACAAGTACAGAAAAATATCATAATATTAACCAAAAAGTTAAGTCAAGCCTTTTCGGATATGTGCAACTCAAAACAAGTTCAGCTCAAATTAGCTAATAGAGATATTTAAGACTATAGGTAGAAAATATGTGACCACGAAATTAAACTATAATAAGTTAATAATATGAAATGGCAGAGTTTGATGCCAAATGCCCCAGGTTCTATTTGATGTCATGAGTTCAGAATCAGCTGGGACTTTGACACTTTGTGAACTTTCAAGTTTTACCAGTTTAAGCAGTTAAATTCCACACTACTACTCTTGTCCACTTTGTGGCGCTGTGAGAAAATGATTAGGCTAATGTCAATGGAATCAGTGCTCTGATGAGGAACATTTAACTTCTGTTGATTCAGTGAATAATTACAGCAATATCTGTCTTTTGCTGAAACGTCTCATTCTACCCTGGTCCACAGTAACACTGAGGAGTGAGGCTACAGAACCACAGATTCAAATTAGCCTACGACAAAACTGTGTTGTACTTTTTGTTTCGGCTAAGGCCACAGGTTCATTATACTATACTATACATTTTTCGTTCTCAAATATTCATAACAAAACACTTACAACAAATACCTGCTGCTGACTCAGGTGTTTTGAAACCACACATACAACAATGCCTCCCTTTGCTGCACAACCAGTCAGCTGATTCACAGTAAACCAGAGGAAGAAAACATTGAGTAACAACACCGAACTGCCACGACGCCACAACCAACGACTTCCGCTGTGTTTGTAACAGCACAACATGAAGCTGGTATTTACTGTGTAACATGTTAGAGGTCAGTCACTCACCTAACACACTCAACTCTGCATAGACTACAAAGCTTAGTTGTCATTTTTACATTTGAGTGTTTCAGTGTGGTCTCTGTAGACCCTTTAACTCATGTGACATATACTATACAAGCTACTTGAGTTCCTTTGAGTACTTTGTGCACTAATCTGACTAGTCTGTACTTAACATAGTATAAGAAACATGATCAAAAACTAATAATAGAAGAAAAAAATGTCTCTGGGGTCAGAGGACATTTGTGATGTCAAAATGGGGTCACAAGACAAAAGAAAGGTTGGAAACAACCACTGCTTTGTCTAAAGTCTAAGTGAGTTGCACATTTACCACATTTTCTGTATAAAACATAAAAAACTGTGGTGACTAATGCAAACCCACGCACATAAGAACGATGCATGCTCCTGAATTTGCATCTAATTATATGTATGTGGATTTTTTTTTAACAGAAAAAGCACATCGCATCATCATTATACCATTGATTTGGTGTCAATTATGCTTTCACTGTGGGAGCAGTCGCAGACTCAATCCATTTTAAACAGACTAACCCAGTCCAGCTGTGCTTCATCCTCTGTCTGTAATTAAGCTGGAAAAGCACTGAACTCTGTCAGAGAAGCTTCAGAGGAGGACCTTCAGTGAACGCATCACTGTGGTCCCGGTTGTTGGAGACGCACAGACTGGAAGCAGAAAAATAAGATCCAGTGTTTTCATCAACAGCTGAGCAGCAAAAGAGCAGAGACAGAAAAGGGTTCAGTCTGGGTCTAGTGTCTGTGCGAAGCTGCATGTGTGAACACGGAGCTGAAGACGGTCGGATCTGTTGACTTCAGCTGTGTGAAGGTTGTACCATCTGAGGATTAGCTCAGGTAATAGCATTAGCTCATGCTCTGTTTCTGTGTGTGTGTGTGTGTGTGTGTGTACCGGTTATAGCTACAGTATACTTGTGCTCTCCTTCTTTCCTTGTGTGGACATATCGTAGGTCTCCACTGAGTGACATGGTATTTAGAGGTTCGAGACTGGAGTTTTGCTGAATTTGAATTAGGAACAGACTAGGATTAGACATTTATTTGTGAGAGTTAATGTTAGGGTAAGAGGCTGGGGCAACACATAAGGTCTATGTGTGTCAGTGTGTGTCAGTGTGTGTGTTCAAGTTGCTCCAAATGACCAACCTTTCTTGGGCCACATTTATAGACAGCCACTATTCAGACTCGAACCCACAGTTAATCTAACCTGGACCTCTGACCCAAAACTGCACATATTTTTGAACTCCAGAAAGACCACCAGTTACCCCAGGGGCTCAAACGTGTGATCTTTTCATTGTTAGGCAAGTGGAACAACCACTCTGTTACCGTACATCCTCCGCTAACACCAACAGAAAACACTCCTTAACTGCACAGGCACGGCCCACTGAAGTGACTTTACCTGGAGCCTGTTGGACTGTCTTCACGGCTGGAGACAAGAACGTCTGAAGGCTGGACACGCACAGTTCATTCACCGTTCCCATAACCCCACTGTGTAACGTCAAGGTGTTGATTGAAGATTGGTTCATGTTAGCAGCGGTCCCAGTCCCTTCGTCCACAGGGCTGAAGTGGAAAAGGCCTCGGTGTGTGCTGCTGGGTCCAGCTGCTGTGTCCACGGAGAGACGCCCACCTGTGAGTGTCTCCTTCTCATGGATGAACTCTTCGCTCTCAGAGATTTATTCCTGAAACTCACCTACTTTCTCTTCCTCCTCGACCAGAATGTGCAACTTGGTGAAATCACTTCTGCTTTCTCTCTGTTCCCCTTTCGCACCGGTGTTTCAGCCTCGCTCAATCCTCCCCTGTTCTCTCTCTCACTCTCTGTAACTCCCCCTCTCTCTCTCTTTTTCCCACTTGCACTCCCATGCTACTTTTGCATACTAATTCAGGCCAATATACTCAGCCCTAACACGCTGCACATACAAATGCTATCAGTCTGAGCTAAAAATCATGTGATAATCAACCTTAGGGAGAAGTCAGTTCTTGGTGTTACCTCAGGTGTCTGACCTTACAGTATAAAAACCACAGACACATCAGATCAGAGGAACAATAAAAGGAATCCGAAACTTTTCTCTGAACATGTCAGCATGTTGCTGTGT